GAGTGAGCCATGGGCCAGCCCAGTTTTTCTCCTATTTTTATCTTCAGTCTCCATTTAAATATTTTTCAGGGAGGTCATTCTTTTTTTTTTCTTTTTTCCTTTTTGTCTTTTTTCGTGACCGGCAACGGATTGCAACCCTCAGTGTTGCGCCCGTACCGGACCAGGACCGGCCACGGGATCACAACCCTCGGTGTTGCTCCCGCCCCTCGCTCAGCCAGTGAGCGGCCGGTTTGTATGTGGGATCCGAACCCTCAGCGGGAGCGCCACCGCGCTTCCCAAGCGGCGCACTATAGCAGTGCGCCACCGGGCCGGCCCAGGGAGGTCATTCTTAATATTCTAGATTGGGTTAATTCCATTGTTACATGCTCTCACAGGCCCTGTATTTCATTCAGCACTCTCAAAGCCCATTAATTACTTATTTAATGCCTTCTTTCCCTTCTTTCCCTAATTTTAACTTCCTGGGGGCAAGGATCATGATCACAGTACCTGACATATTGCATTTAATTCTTCATTTTAATCTTGTTTCTGTTGTCACAATATCAACACATACATAATAAAGTATACACAATGGACACATGAGAACATAGAAATGGCTTATATAGGGATACCACATTGGAAAACAAAGGTCCCCTCCTTAAGAAGAACAGATTGAATGCTAAGTAACTCACTTTCATTGCTGCTTCTATAACAGTGAAAAGAAAATAGATTATTTACAGAAGGGATAAAGTTTTACATTCTGGAATTTGTGACTGATATACAGGCTCATAACCTCAATCTCCAAATCTCCTCTCCTGTCCTTCTCAATATTTCATTTTTTATAAAACAAACTCCCCTGCTTAAAACCAGCCAATGACTTCCTGTCACAACCAAACTCTCAACCAGTTCCCTGCTTTTCTCTGACCTCATCCCCTCTAGACTTCGGCTCATTCATTATGCTCTGGGCTCCAGGCACACTGGTCTTCCTTCTGTCCCTGTAAGAGTTAAAAGCTTTGCTATCTTTTCTCCCAGGTCTTCAAGTGTTTCCACTTTTTCATCATTTATGTCTTAATTCAAATATCACTTCCTCAGAGGGGTCTTTCTTGACCTCCCCAGTAAAGCATCAATTCTATCCAATGACACTCTCTACCATTTTGAAGCTTTTCTTCTTCAGAAACATAGCAGCATCTGCAATAATATAATTTGTTCATTTGTTTACAGGATTAACGTCTATGTGTCCACATAAAGGCAGAGACTTGTTCACTGTTTATTGAAAATATCCTCAGAGACTAGAATAGTAGCACATAGTAGCTACGCCATAAATATGTTAAGTCACTCTGGGCACTCAGGTGCAGGCTACTCAAGCCCTGGAAGTCCTGAAGACTTCCAAGAAGATTCCAAAATGTCAAAGCAAATGTGTGGTTTTCTAAATGTATCTAGTGACCTCTGCTGGAAGACTTACCAAGGACACCAAATACAAGTCTTCATGCTTTTCCTGACTGGCCTCTCACCTCTTTTCATTGAATGATAAAATGTTAGTGTGAAATTAGAGATCAGGAACATTTGAAAGTTCTTCTCCCACTTCAAAGAAACCCCATTTCCCTTTCTGCCTGGATGATTGTTCTCTTTCTGCTCCCAGCTCATCAATTTGTGCTTTTAGTACAAACCTTAGAGGAGATTGTTCAGAGATATAGGAAGCACAGAACTTTCCTTGATCACCCACCAAATTTTATTGCATAAATGACTGCCTTTCTATGCATATATATCTGAAAGAAAGGAATTCATCCAGGTGACATGGATAGATGAAGATATATCCCATGAACATATTTCATATGGTTTCATTTATTTATTGCTCTCTCAACTGAAGGAGTAATTTTGAAAAATGGTATTCACCACTAAAAAGCAAAGAATTGGCAAGGGGTGTCCTCATGTTGAGAATAACAGGATCAAAGTTTTGTAAGTCTACTATGGGGGATCATTAGGAGATAACGTGTTATGGAGGGTTGTGGTATTTGACAAAAAAATATCAAATGAGAACCAAGGAAGCAGAATTTCAAAAGATCAAAATAATGAGATTGAGAATGTGTGAAACAATCATGAAGTGATAATGATTAAACTTTTGAAAACTTTTTTACTTATCTTGTGTATAACATATATATGTGTATTAGTTCATTTCTGTAGCAATAACAGAACAACTGAAAATGGGTAATTTCTAAAGAAATGAAATTTATTGCTTACAGTTTCAGAGGCTGGGAAGTCCAAAGTCCAGGGAACACATCTGGTGAGGACCTCGTTGGTGGGTGGTGACTCTTCACAGCAATGCAGGGTGTCACATGGCAAATGGCTTGGGTAAGAGAGAGAGTTAACCAGCTCATTCGCTGTCCTTATAAAGCCATCAGAACCACACCCATTACCACCCATTAAACCATCAACTTATTACCCCACAAATGGATCAATCCATTCACTAAGGCATGGTCCTCATAATCCAATCACCTCTTAAAGGCCCCACCTTTCAATTACCAAAATAGGATTTCCCACCCTCGACACTATTACAGCAGGGATTAATACATGAACCCTTGGGGACACAATTCAACCCATAGCAATATGTATACATGATTATTGCAGAAAATTTGTAGAACACAAGTAAACAAAAAATACCACATCAATATTAATCATAATTGCTACCACTTAAAGAAAACCATTGTTAGAGTTTTAGTACATAGACCCCCAGTCTTCTGCTTATGTCTATTCCAATCATCTGTTTATGTACACGTCACCAGTGGAAGTATATATGTACCTTTCTACAATATTGAATCAGTCATACTATTTACTTCATTTATATCTTCTTGTTTTCATTTAGTATGTTATGAAATATATTCATTGATCTAAAGTCATTTTCTTCAAAAATGTTTTGTTAATGAACCATTTGAACAGCTAATATATGCACATTGTACAATATTTTAAAAATTAAAGAAAGAAAAGCAGGCTTCCTTTTTACCCCTTTCCTCTCTAGTGTTATTAGGGGAAGCTTTTAATAGACCATCATAAGTCTTATAAATAAGGCTGAGTGTTACTGAAGTGGTTGGCACAGTACCAGGCACTAGGTTAAGTCCTTTATATAAATTATCTCATCCCTGTTTTAATAAGAAAAACCAAAACTTACTTAAGAAAATAGCTCCAGGTTACATAGCTGATATGTGGCCAACTGGACTTGACCCCATGAGTACAACTAAGTGCTTGATGTCTGGCATATTGTGTGAATGAATTAATCAGTCTTACGGTGTATATCAGGTAATATGAATCAGCCCTCCCATTGCCTGTATAAGGCCAGACGAACCAATCTCAGGGTTACTGGGACTGAGCGCTACAAACTTGAAGCTCTATCATCTCCCTGTCATCCCATTCTCACTCCTTGTCAACATGTCCTTCTGTTTGGTTTTACTGGAATTTGTATTTGCAATACCCTCAGAGGTTATGTCAATATAAGCAAAGTATTTTGTAAAGGAGACAGTCATTTTGGTAACTCAGGCTCATATCTTTATACTTTGTATTTGATTTTTTAAAAATTAACCATAAACCTTTTTCTCACAACTCAAACAAATGGATAGTAAACTATGTACTTGAATTTACTTTTATAGACAAAGAATCAAATATATCACTTCATCATGGAAGACGTATTTAAGCTACTTGATTCACGTAGATTTATTAATAAAACATAAAGAAATATGATTTTACCTGTCTTGAGTCATTAAAATAGGCTTATGTCAATAAAATCACTGTACAGAAAATGGCTAAAAGATGAATAAAAGCTTCTAAAATAGTATTAACATGTTAACAAATTATTCTATGACAATTCTGTTCTAATGTGAAGGATATTTTGTGCGAGCTTCAATTCTGCTGCTATATAGAATGATAATGTAAAACTATTGATGTTAGCTAAATCTGTAAAGTCAGATGGTTCAAAATTAAGTATGCTTGTGAATGACCTTAATCCCTTTAGGAACAATATAGGGTGTTTGTGTTTGTGTGTGTATGTGTGTTGTGTGTGTGTGTCAATAAACTGCCACATGCATACCTACATACAAACACACAGAATAGCAAATATATGACATTTATCTGCAATGTGATGCTGACGATATTTCAGAATCTAATTTCTTTTGCAATTTTCTTCTTGTATTTGAACATTTATTTTTCTGTTGAGTTATTCTTTATCAGTTTGATAATATTTGAGGTAAATGTACAAATATGACTAAAATTAATTTCTACTACGCCATTAAAATTATGAACTGATGATCATTGATCAGTCAAAATTACATCCTTTATGTGATATACCCAAAGACATACTGAGATTTATGCTTTTTCATAGAGAAATTTTAAGAAAAGTAATTAAGAAAAGGTGGATTAAGAGCTATGTCTGTCATCAAAATTCAGTTTGTAAACATAAAATAAAATAACTAGAAAAAAATACCTTTAAAAGCTCTAGAAATAGAAATCAAAAGAAAAAAAGAATACTGAGGAAATCTAAAGGGATTTAAAGCACAAAAATGTATCCCAATCAATTCTACATACAATCTAAAGAGGTACGCAAACCTTATGAAGGAAACAGCTAATATTGGATCATGTTGGAAATGACGAAATAAGCGTTGGTGACTGTAGGCGTCCAGGAGTTTGGTCAAAGGACAAGGGCTGAAGGGCGGGATGTGGGCCATGCTAAGGCTATCCCAGGAGGTGCTCGCTTAAGCCCTGAACCAGAGGATTTTACTTGTGATTGCTCTGGGTTTGGGGAGATCATAATTAGATATATTGTCCTCATTGGACCTGCCCAGAAAGACTGCAGAGGACCTGAGAATTCTTCCTTCAACTGGAGATTCTCTGGGAAGCACCTGAGATTTCATTCTGCTAGTTTATTCCACTACCAAAGCCTGATAACTGCCAGCTCTAAACTTTTATGTCCCTAAGTGCACCTCTCCTGGGATTACAATTAATTGAAACAGTGATTCAAAAAAGTTTCAGAGGACTGAAGAATGCTCCGAGGCCGATCCCTGTCTGTGGCATCCCTGAGTGGGCTTCCTCGGTGGGAAGCTGATGACCTTCCTGTGAAGGATTTACTGCTCTTTGAAGTTTCGTGGGAAGTGACCAATAAAGGTTGGTACTGATCCTGAAGGTGGCTATAAACCAGATTACTGAAGAATGTAGATTAAGATTTCCCAGATACCTCTCTAGTGATAGTGAATTGCCAGTAAGTGAGGAAAGCATTTAAATGGAATGTAAATTTAGCCTGCATTTGACTATTTCAACAGGCAGTGAACACTTAGACATGAATATGTGTTCAAGAGAGAGAAAGTTGAAGCTATTAGTCTTTGCAGGCAAATGAGTGTTGAAATTAAAAATTTAAATCCATGTTATGACAAAATAGGAATAGAAAGTTGATATTCACTTTTTTTGTTTTATTGATTTTCCTCAGCAAAAAAAGTGTAAATAATTACTTTATTTTAGGAAGACCTATATGTGATCAGGATCAATTAGAAACCTTAACTCTATATACTGTTAGTGATTGTATGAAATATTTAATAATGTTCCTAATAATTCAACATTAGCTTGGAATTAAAGTTTTAATTTAGAAGCTGCTGAGAGGCATAATATTGTGCTCCTACTCAGAAGAATGAAAGTAATTTTTTCTTCAACGTGATGCACACATAGAAATGATAAAATAAGAAGGAAACTAAATTGATAAAATTCAAATAGTTTTCTAATAAGATGCTGGATGGGAGAAGGCAAAGAAGAGAACTACAACCTAAATGATTTAATAATAAAGGCATCTGGAATATTATAAAAACAATTCCTTGGGGATTGATATTCTCTAGTTTAAAAGTGTCAGGACTATTGAAGGAATGTTAACAAAGGGAAAATGATAGTTTTGAAGGCCAAGTTCCTCAAGATCGTGAAAGAGCAGACCATGCAATGAGTGGGTAGATGGCAGTGACACCCTGTAATTTGAAGAATGTGAAATTATAACACGTGATGTGATATATCACATGCTTACCTTTTAGCATATGTTTATTATTACATGTTTACTACAGTAATTTAGAGGATCTGAGATGTATGATTGTGATGCATTCCTTCTTTTGTCTAATCAGAGCCAACATAATCTCAAAATCAGAGGAACCGTATTTAGCATCTGTTCTGATTTTCACCTTATGCTGCCTGTTCAAAACTGTCATGTGTATGCATTCATAAAATCAAAATTAAAAACCGATTCTGCCTATATAGAAATGCACAGAATGCATGTAAGACAGCAGAGCCCAGTCTTTGTCTCTGTGGTTTAGTGAGAAGGAAGTAAAGGGGATAGAATCCTTAGTAGAGAAGAGTGAAGTATTTTGTGTGTACCTGTTTCTAATGTCCTTTTTCCAGTCACAGATTTTTCCAGTCCAGTTTTAAGTATGCCCAAAGTTCCTGGGAACAGAGCCATCTCTACCACATGTGAAGCCTAGAGTGTGCCTTGAAATAAAAGTTTTTTTCTGCAGAATAGGCAGTCTCTTGGGTGCTGGAAACACACTGAAGAAAATGGGTTAAGCTAAACCATGAATATTGTATCCCAATGACGTGTGCTGATATCAGGGTCTGGAATAGTGCCAGGCACATAGAAAATGCTCAGTGAATTTTTTTTTTTAGTAAAGGACTGAATACATTTAGTTTTCAATCCCTAAGCTGTCTTTAATACTCATTTTCTATCATTTCCTCTACAAGGGGAATGGAATCTTTTTAGTGGAGAGGGACCCACAATGTGATTTACCCAAGATGACATCGTCTTCAATGTATTTTTATTTTAATATTTATCACAGTCTGGTTTTATTAGAGATTTTTATATAGATGGACAATTATTGTTTATCCCCCCAAATGCATTGCCACTATAGTTTCCTTTTTAAATGTTCTTTGAACCTTTACTTCCCTGCAGTTCATAGCCGTGATGAGGCATCTTAGAGATCATGGATCCAACTCTCCCATGTCATGGATGAGATGGATACACAGAGGCATTAAATGACTGAGCAAATGCAGAGTTAAGACCAACATTTAGGTCTCCTCCAAGTCCAATCTTCTTTTTACTACCATATAAGAATTAAATATTAAAACCTCCATTGTCTAAGCAAATGTCCTGTAGATAAAAAAACACAGGATTGCAGTCAAAGGTCACAGATTTCCGAAACTTTGAAAAAAAAAATCCCTTAAACTATTGAATATCATTGTAATATACTCCAGCTGTCTTAAGATGTTTTGTGGCAAGCAAGGAAATATATTCATATCCAAAAAAAGATTTCTTAGAGGGGAAAAAAATTCCTCACTGCCAGAATTTTGCCAATGAACAATGGAAATGTAAAAATTATAGCAAAACAAGGGGTCATAGTTAAATTGTTGGATGTTAATTCTCAGACCTCAGAGTAACCTTTCTCACTTATTAATATTAACCTTGAAATGTATTGCTTTTATTTATTCATCCCTTTATTTTTATTACCAATTTATTCTTCAATTAAGATTCATCAAGTGTCTATTAGGTGTCAGGCTGGGAGATCAGAAAGAGAGAGTTGAACAATACAGTATTGATTCCCAGTCTTCCAGATTTACAAACTTGCAGAAAGGTAGACACTGAACGTGCAATCATAGTTAAATGAAATAAGTGGGAGAGTAAGAAAACAGAGGAAGTGGTGGTGGGGGATTCCTAACCTAGTTTAGGGTTTGAGAAAAACCTCTCTAGTGAAGAGACATTTGAGCTGACACCTGAAGGTTGAATTGCTTTGGGGGGAAAATGGCAAAGGCATTAAAAGAAAAAGTGTTCAATGTGAGGGGACTATACATGCTGAGATGTATTGGTGTGCAGAATTGTGTGATGCATGCTGAGAAGCGGAAGTGTGCTGTGTTCAAAGATCTGAGGGAAGCTTGGGGAGGAAAAAAGAGGGGAGCATGAGAGAAGGTGAGAGAGACCTGCAGGAGCTAGACTGTGAAGCTTAAGGAGAGTTAACAACCTTAAGGAGTTTGATCTGCAATCTAGGAACAATGAATGGGAAGCCGCTGAAGTGCTAATTAGCAGGAAGTGCTAAGTAGTCTGATATGTTTTTGCAAAAGCACTGTCACTAGTTGAGGGAGAGGATAATAGGAAAGTTAGATCTTAGCATGACCTAGGAAGGAAAGTTTAACTCAAATGTCAGAAACAAAAGTTTTCTTTCTCTGTCTTTGCTCAGGCCTTACTACTATCGTTTCTTCCACGTAGACTTGCCCAAAACGGTAGACTATGAACAAATTATCATGTTGAGGATATTTAGGATCATTAAAAACAATCTATGTAAAGACTTCTGAAGGAGTCTTTAGTGCTCCCCAAGGAGCACTAAATCTCTTTCCTACCAGACCTGCTGCCTCAGAGAACAATGTTCTAACTGTATAATGACTACCTCTGTTTCTGCAACTGTCTCGGGACAGGGGGATCATATTAGTAGTCACACGTACTGAAACAGTCATATGACTTCCAAGTCTGTAATTTTTAAGCATTTTAAAAATAGTGAAAATTTCCCCAATTTTATATATCTATATCTATCTATCTATCTATCCATCTGGAGAGAGAGAGAGAGAGAGAAAGAGAGAGAGAGAGAGAGAGAGAGAGAGAGAGAGAGAGAGAGGAGAGATGAGAGAGGGAGAGAGAGAAAGAGAGAGAGAGAGAGAGAGAGAGAGAGAGAGAGAGAGAGAGGAGAGATGAGAGAGGGAGAGAGGAAAAGAGAGAAAGAGGGAGAGAGAGACAGAGAAAGAAAGATCCTTCTTTAGCTGATGTCCATTCTATACCACTTTGAAATAGTAATTTTAGTAAAATTGGCAGTGTTTCCAGATGAAAACAGAGTTTTAACTACCTCATTGCTCTATAGAGCTACCACGGTAGCTCATCTTTTCTTTCTTATAAAAGGCCTAATACTTTGATCTCACATGACAGCTCTCGTGTTGTTTCAGAAAAATATAGATCAATAAAATACAAAGTAGTCGTTTAAAGTGAAAGTTAACTTCCAGTCTCCAGGGGTCAATGACATAGTGGGGTGAGGCCTTTGGATCCCAGGAAGAAATCGATGGCTGCGGCAGGCCTCTGAGAACTAGGACCCCTGCTGGACCTACGTGGTTGTACAAGTGGCAAGAGGGAGGCACTAAGGGGAGCTCCAGACGTGCGTGTGGACGCCGGTGTGTGTGTTGGGGGGACTGGTGATCAAGAGTCATGGACGGGGAGAATGTGCAAGTTTGTACCATTCCACAAAAGAAGGACCAGGAGGAGGAGGAGAGCATTATTGCTGCACATCTGAAAGTCAGGGTACTCAAGAAAATGTTACATTGGGGGCTTCCAGTCAAGATGGTGGAATAGACAGTCCCCAGAGTCCCTCTCTCCCACAAATCAACCAATTTACAACTATCGAAAAGTAACTACAGCCAAGCTGGGGCTGCTAGAGCTCAGGGGAAGAGGAGGAGAGACCTATGGAGTTCAGGAAGGCAGGAGAAGCCATGAGGAGAAAAAGAAAGGACGGCTCCCACCATTTCATGCCCTGGCTGCTTCCAGGCTGGAGCTGCTGAGCACACAGAGCAGGAGCTGGCAAAAGCCTCAGCTGTGCCCTTCAGATGAAGTTGCTTGGAAGCAGTAGGGGAGAAGAGGGCATTGGTGGCCCCCAGGCCAGCAAGACCACTGACAGGGTTCCCAGGGAACCACATAGGAGCAAGGAGCCACAACTGAGAAAAAGGAGCCACTTAGAGGCCAGTGAGTCATCGCAAGGGACTAACACATAGCCCGTCCCATGGGAAGTGTTTGTGGCATGGGCAGTGGAGGAGACAGGCCTACCAGGGGAACACTGGGGCACGGCAAGGACAGTTGATCTGCCCCCCAGTTGGCGTGGGACCACTCAGTGGAGACTGGTCGAGAATGCAGATCTGCAGGGGGTGTAGTTTGCTGGGGAGTCTCAGGCACAGACCAAGGTTTTCACACAGCCCAGGTGTACCAGAACTCCCAAGACCTGGAAATACATACAAGGTCAACAATAAAAACCTGAGCTGCACAAGAAAACCTTCCCCAGGGAGTCAGCAGCAAAGCAGCAATTTAGCTCAACCGCAGGGCTCATGTGCTGGTCCCCACAGGAAGTTCCCCCATTTTAGAAGTAAGCAAAGGACAACAAATTAGTTCCAGTGCAGAGTTTAAGTGGTGGGAATAGCAAATAATCCAACACAGAACTGAAAGTAAAAACAAAACCAAAAATAACAGAGACAAAGTCTGATATTAACTAGTAAAGGTCTAAGACACCACCAAAGAACACTTATTAGGCTTAGAAGGACTGGAAACCCCCTGGGCTCCTGATCTGGGGCAATGGGGAGGCCACAGCCATGCCCCTTTGACATCCGCAACCAGTGATGACCACTGAGCCACCCAGGAAGCACCCTGGGCTCCTAAGCCTGGGTGACAGTGGGCCTAGGCTCTCAGCCACACACACACACCCCCAACATTTGCAACTAGCCCAGCGATGACCACCGTGCTGCCACCGCAGGAACCACCCCCACCCCGTCTCCCCTGTCAGAATGAGGGAGGTGCCACAGGCCTCGACCAAGCGCACCAGAAGCACCCTGGGCTCCTAAGCCTGGGTGACAGTGGGCCTAGGCTCTCAGCCACACACACACCCCCCCAACATTTGCAACTAGCCCAGCAATGACCACCGTGCTGCTACCGCAGGAACCACCCCCACCCCGTCTCCCCTGTCAGAATGAGGGAGGTGCCACAGGCCTCGACCAAGCGCACCCTCCTTCTTACTCCTCCCACCCTATTTCCTTCCCCCATCCCCTCTTCCCCTCCTGCCCAACTGCTCTGCAACAACATCTAGGAAGGTAAAAAAAAAATAATATTAATAAATAAATAATTTTTTTTTAAGTAAAAGTTAAGTTCACATTCAATGACCTACACTGTGGTAAAACAATAATTCATTAATGATATAGAACGTGGATTTTTAATGTAAGAATGAAACTTTGCAGATTTAAGAAACCCTTTCTCTGTGCCATTGAACTCACATATACTCTAGCATGCTCAGAGAGAAGTTTGGAGCCATGTGTTGTAAATAAACAGTAAAAATCAAGGGCAACTAGTTGGCATATAAATATGGGGAGGACAAAGGAGGCTAAAGTGGTGCTTGAGTACATCAAACAGCAGCAAGAGGATGTCCCCACAGAAAGACTGTACAGGGAGACGTCTTAAGGTGGGGGAGGGGCTCAAATATTGATTTACAATCAGGCTTCAATCGATATGGGATGATTTTTATTTTTTTAGTTTTATGTTTTTATTTCTGGTAGACTGAAAGAGTAGCCATAGTATTTATAATACTCTAAGACAATTTGAGGACTATCTATATCAAGGCTGAAGGCCTCAGCTGGGAAAGCAAATAAAATAGTTTGCATTTGCCCAAGTGTATTTGAATTTGAAACACATAATCTAAAAAACAAAGATGTACCAAGATTGCTGGGCAAGATACATAGTTACGAGTAAAAGTTTTAAGAATAAAAAGTATATAGTAGGCATTTAATAATTTGCACCATCAGAACCCTAAAGCATATTCTCCCTGATGAGAAGGAAATAAGTCTACTTAAGAAGAGAAATTATTTGAAAATATTACATTTTTTGAGGATAGCGGTTTTGAATAGAGCTTATATATATTTAAATATTCTGGTAAGATGTAACTCTCACAGTTTAAAGAAAAGTTCTTCTTTTTAGTTGCTCTTGCAGATGGTTTCCCTATATTTATTTTTTCTCAACAAATAATTTTGATGATTCATAAAATCTTTCAGAATATGGGGAAATACTTAGGTGTGGTTGATGCTGATATTAATTGATATACACTTACATTTATTGTTGAATGGTTATGTGAATCACGTCTATTCTGAGTCTAGAAGCTTCTGCTTCCAAATTTTGCTTTCTTTATGTGTTCCATGCTGTCCTCATCACCAGCCATCTGACCTTTAATTGATAGTGTCTTTATTTTCAGACTCTGCTTAACTGACAATTTTAATTTCTTTGCAGTACAGTCAAAAATCTTTTCCTCAAAGATGAAGTTACAAAGGACAATTAGTTTATATAGTCACATATGAAAATTGCTTGTGTGTAGTATCTACATTTGGGGAGTTACATTAGCTCTTCTCTTTTGTAAATTAATGAATACTGTTGGTATCAAATAGTAGTATTGACATTTGCCTTTTGTGTCTCACCTTTCAAAAGGCAATTTTCTAAAAAGTACATTTTGAGTGTGAGTGGCTTAAAGAAAAAAATCACAGATGGCGATTCTACCTTTTGGCCATTGGTTGTGACTATTGATAAGACTTATTTAAAGTCTAAGTTACTGAAATACATTCAAGTCCAACCCTAAAGTCTAATGAGTTAGAATACCTTATGAAAAACAGCAGTGGAAAGTGAGAAGAAACTTTTATCTGTATAAGGAAGTAACAAAATTGCACCTTGAAATTGAATTGAAGATTAGTGCCAAGGTCTTATTAGCTCCAGGATTTCACACAGGATTTCTTGAGTCATCCCCTTGTCTACAGCTCATGGACAAAGTATTACCCAAGAAATCAACTCAGACTATTTTCACATTCACATGTGCTGTTATTGCTTACAGCTGGCACAGGAAATACCCTGCCTAAATTTACTGGGGGGTTTCTTCCCCTACTCCTCCTACCTGGGCACTGAGTAGCAAAACTACCCTTTGAATGCCTACTACTCTCCCCTGGCACACTCTGCTCCCAACTTAGCGCCTTCCTTGGCTTTAACAATTACCTCTGCCTAAAAAATTCCTCCCATAATATGTCCTTGCCTAATTTCTTCACCCTTTTTGATCACACTTTTAAGTGATATTTTATTTGCTCAAACATCACCTTTTCAATGAGGCCCAATTTTTAAATCTGCTGCTACAACCTGTTTTTTCCTTCAAGCTAAATACTATTTTACCTTCATTTAACAGATGAGCTAATTGAACCTTAAAACAGTTAAGTGAGTTAACTCAAGTGAGACCAATTGAGTGGGTCCAATCCAAGTTGTTTCCAATTTTTCACCATTATAACACTTCAATAAATATCCTTTACATACATGTCTTTTGGTGCTTTTCCTATTTTTCCCCCAGGACAATTTTCTAGATTTAGATCGTCGGATCCAAGACTAGGTGTATTTTGCAAGAGTATGCGTATCTTCCTGCTTTGTGTTTCAATTCTGGTAGCAGCAGTGCCAGAGGAGGAAAACGAAACAAAGACTCCAAGAAGAAGGAAATACTGTACGAGTGTGAAAATGTGTATTTGTGTCATTGGAGTTGACATTGGGGTTGGACTAAGTGTCTTCCATCAAAACCAATCAGCTCTCTCCCTTTGTAAAGAGCTACCCTGCTTGGTGCCTTAGGAGGGGAATGGCTCTTTCGTGTGGGAGATTTTCTTGTAACTGCAAGCAACGGTGGCACAGAATGGAACCAGATAGTACACGTGTTGGCATCCCTTAACGATGGGGTAAACACTACGCTTTTAGAAAGTTAAATAAACTCTGGTACTTGATCGATTCTAAATGCTAATTCAAACTCATTTCCATCTCTTCATCAGTTAAAATGAATTACTAACTGGAATATTATAATATAATTTTTTTTTTAACAGTTGGAGGCATCTGTACTGTGATTCAGACAAAGGCCAAAACAACAGCAGATGAATGGGGAGACAATTATTTTCTGATAGGTCCATATTTTGAGCATAATATGAAGACTCAGGTGGAGCAATGTGAACCTGCGAATGATGCTGTCAGGAGAGCAGTGGAGTCAATGAACAAGCACGGCTGCCAGGTAAAGGAGCCTGCACAGCTCTCGGTAAACTGTCCTGGGAAAAGAGTGCAATTTACATGAACCCACAAGAGAAGACATCCACCTACTTAGGGAGGAAGGTCAGGTTCGTGAGAAAGACAAGACACTTGGTTTTAAAAAGGTTGCACTTGAGCACCTTGTGAAAACCAAGAGGAAATGTCTAGTAAGAACAATGGGTTTGGAGCTCAGCAGAAGGTAGAGATGTTTCTGAGGAAGTCATTTGAATCTGAATTGTAGTTGAAGTCATGGGTGTTGATATTGTTCAGTGTAAGTTTATAGACTAAGAGCAAAAGTTTTGAGCCAAACTTTGGGGCATGTTTATGTGTTAGAGCATCTACATTAAAAGGAGCCAGAGATTGCAAATGTAGAAGCAAAACTAGTGATATAGAACCTGTGAGTATATTACCTTATATACCAAAGGGGACTTTGTAAATGTGATTACATGAAGGATTTTGAGATGGGGAAATAATCCTGAATTATCGGGGGGGGGGGGGGCAGTATAATCACAGGACCCT